TATAACTTTTCTATTGTTTTTAAAACTAAACTCAAACAAATTTTGTCTATTCTGAAAAGAAGATTTTCTCAGGTGTCAATCACAATCACTTTTATCTTTATTTTATTACAATAAGGTGGAAGAATAAATCTGACCTAAAAATTAGGTTGAAGAATATAAAAACTTGCAAGTAGGTGCAAAGGACCCATCGATGTAATTGTCAAATCGACATATACATGCAACTTCCTATCTTCTTTAAATAGAAGTCAGGAAATTAGATGGCTGTGCTAAGAGCATCCACAATGATGCTCTCTATTTCTTAGCTAAATTTTAGCTAAGAATATAAGAAAACTATTTTAGGAGCTCTCTAAAAAATTCAACTCCAACCATACTCCATAATTTGGAGAGTCATAAATATTTTAACTTTTTTTTAATTGGTCCATCTCTATTATAAAATAAAATAAAAAATAGTTAGCATTAAATAAAGGTTTGAAATACTCATTAAATAAAGCAGCATTAAATTATAGGGAGCCACTAGGAGTTCTTTATCTTTCCTCAGATTTAGGAGCTCCTAGAGGACTCTCTATTTTAGGAGGTGGATAGGGAGTGTGGTTGAAGTTGCATTTTTACGATTCCTCCCTAAAATTTATCTAAGGAGGTGGTTTAGGGAGCCCATTGTGGATGCTCTAATAAACATAAAGGCTATACTGGCAATTAATTGGAGAGAATAATATCAGGAGGTTCTAGAAAATGGATTTCGAATCTCTATATTTAGCATTCACGTATTTATACGTATTTAAAATTATTTTAAAATTTTAATTAATTTAATGAAATCGATCCGTCCATGTCATAATATTTGTATTAGACTAAACAATCACCCATTGCACCTTATCGTTTTCACTTGCCTATCCAATGTGTCCCCTCCTTTCTCTCATGCCTATTGGCCCTAAGAAGATTTGGAAGAAGTTTGATAAACATGAAGGACCAAGAATCAACCCAAAGCGTGGATGAAGATACTGTCCACAAAATTCAAAGCATTTTCTAATTTCATTGGCAGTGAAGAAATAATTAAGGAGTTAGTCCAGAAACCCAAGTGTTCAATTGTCCCAAAAATTCAATAAATTTTCTAATTTAAGTGGGCAGTGAAGAAAGAATTAAGGAATTACCCATTAAGCCAATTCAATTTTTCTCTTTTTTTCTTTGGAAAATTTGGTACGTAATGTCTTTTGGTCTGCCAATTCATATTTGAGTTTTAGATTTGTGAAAGTTTTGCAACTTGAAGTCAGAGACGTGCCTCTCTATACTTCATTGAGGAGATTGTCAGATTTGTGGGGAAAGACAGATCTGGTATTAGACTAAAAGGATACGGTGCAAAGGGGTGAGTTTTTTTTTTTTTTTTTTTTTTTTTTTCTAATACAATTATGGTGACATGAATTGATCAAATTCATTAGATTAATTAAATGGTTAAGATTTTTTTAAATGTGTGTAAATGTGTAGATGCTAAATGAGAAGGCTCGGGATCCCTAGAAAAGTAATCGAAAATTATAATTAAGAATTGCTTGAGAGAATTGTTTGTTGAAAATTAATTTATATTCTTCGGCAAAACAATATACATTCTTGACATCCCTTCCTTACAATTCAGTCTTGATGGGACCAGTGGAGAATGAATAATTCTAAACATAGGACGCAACTTTACCTTGAGGCTCCGTTTGGTTCATGGGAAAAGAGATTTGGAGATGGGAAATCAATTGCTTTCCCATGTTTGGTAAGTTCAAGTATGAGAAATCTTTGCCTGACCCATGAGAAAGTAGGGGAGAAAGTGAAATCATCCTCCCAACTTAGGTTTTGTTTTCTCTCTTCATGGAAAAGTTTGGGAAAATGAGCCAATATTAAATAAACATTTTTCTTGACCATTTTGTCGTCATTAACAATTTAGAATTACTAAATGCATTCTTTTTTATTTATTTGATTTAATATGGGTATAATTGAAAATTTATACAAACTTTATTTTCCATTCCTACGCAAAACAAATATGGGAAATGGAATAAAGTGATATCTCCCAGTTACTTTCCTAGCATTACCAAACGCGAGAAATGAATATTCTATTTCTCATCCCTTGAGAAATGACATGGAAAATGATTTCTTTTCAAATTTGTTCTATGAACCAAACTAGGCCCAAATAGTTTGAGCATTCACTCCTCTACTCGAGGTTATGTGTTCGATTCATCCTTCCTTTTGGTTATGCTTTTTGGTCTGCCAATTCGTATTTGAGTTTTAGATTTGTGAAAATTTTGCGACTTGAAGTCAAAGACGTGCCACTCTATACTTCATTGAGGAGATTGTCAAATTTGTGGGGAAAGGCATATATCTGGTATTAGACTAAAAGGATATGGTGCAAAGGGGTGATGATTTTTTATTATTTATTTATTTCTAATACACTTATGGTGACATGGATTGATCAAATTCATTGGATTAATTAAATGGTTAAGATCTTCTTAAATGCGTATAAATGCGTAAATGCTAAATGCGGAGACTCGGGATCCCTAGAAAAGTAATCGAAAATTATAATTAATAATTGCTCAATAGAATTGTTTGTTGAAAATTAATTTATATTCTTAGGCAAAACAATATACATTCTTGATGGGACCAGTGGAGAATGAATAATTTTAAACATAGGACACAACTTTACCTCAAGTGGTTTGAGCATTTACTTCTCTACTTGAGGTTATATGTTCGATTTATCCCTTTTTTTGGTTAATTCAAGAGGATTCAAGCAAGTTTATAGGTGAAGGTAGACTTGTAAATAAGTCGGAGATGGATCAAATATTGGGTGATCTGATTTTAAAAGAATTTCAACCTGATCCAATTTGATAATTCAACGGATAATTCACAACTAAATCCATATCCGATAATGTAGTGGTTTGGAATATTTACTCCCTTAGGCAAGGTCTTGGATTCGAATCCTAGCATCTGTGTAGTGTGTGTGAGTTTAGTATACTATGCCCCTGTAAATAGGAAAAGTCCTAAAAAATAAAATAATTAAAATACATATCCGATCTGTTGGATTATCGGATGTCGGATCCGATAACCCGATCCGAATTCTTTTATGTCATATATAAAAAAGTTGAAAAATATTCTAATTTATTTACAAAAATTTCACAATATTATTATATGTCCATATATATGTATATAGTAAATAATAAATAAATAAAAATATTATATCAAATTGGACCGGCTCATTATCGGATCGAATTAGACCAAATTCAAATTTTGTTAACTTCACGGATTAACGGATTATCAGAATTATGCCACAAACTCGGATCAAAATCCAAAAGAAAATAAGGGAATACATGAAAAGTCGGTGAATTTAGGTGTTATTTTGTATTATTTCAGTCCAAAATAAAAGAAAGTGCATTGTACTTGTATAGACCCATCTTCTGAAACAGGGAACAAAGATGATGCAATCACCTGCCAATCTCCCTTTCTGCTTGGATTTGATTGCATGTTGGGAAAGAAGTGTACTTAAAGGCATCAGTGAAGGGATGGTGAGAGCTAGTGGGCAGCCATGCTCTTTCAATGGCTCACATGGATTAGGGAAAAAGGGCGAAAAAGGCATCTCAATTCTTTGGTTTTGTTTAGTGGGAGATTAGTGTTGTTTAAAATGGAAGCTTAAATTAATTATGTTGATCATGTTAGATAGGCTGTGATATAAGACTTTGATGCTTGTCAAAGATTTATTAATTCTATTGATGTTATTCTTAACAACTGATTACCAATATAATATGCGTTCATGATCCATCTCGCTCTTTATTATCCAATCTTTGGAACTCATTTTGCTTTCAAGTACCATATCTTTAGACTTTTTGCTTTCAAATATTTCTATAGAATAATATAAATATGATAGAAGATGTTGCAAGGAAGGAATAAAATGACATGCGCATCTAATCACTTGGTGGTTGTGCACTTGCGGAAGCAGAGTTTCTTCTATATATTATTTATTTAAAAGGAACCGATAATAACGTCTGGACGTTTGCATATATATTTTAGCAGTTTAGAAATGCTTCAATCAGAATATTTTTATTTTATACCGAAAATGCTTCAATCAGGAACTACAATCGTGCAAGTAGCGAGATTCTGCACTATATGATATCTATCTGGGTGTGTATAAGAGTCAGATAATTGGTTTTTAATGTACTTGATATTCTACAAGTCTCTGATGACGTCCCAAAACTTCATCCATTAGAAAATGAAAAAAGAAGGGTGAAAAAGGTCCTAAACTAGTTTGAGAGGATTTACCATTGCTGAAACCTAGAATTCACCAAGCAAATTATGTGAAATAGAATCCATGAGAAAACAAGGAAACACCCAAAATGGGGGTTGAAATTATAAAAAAAATCAAACACTATTTAAACATATAAACACACCCAAAACCCATCATTACACACACTCAAAACCCATTTATAAACACACCCAAAAAGTTGACTTTGTGGTTGATTTTGGGTGTGTTTCTATGTTTAAATAGTGCTTGGGTTTTTTTATAAATACATGTCTAGGATTGGGTTTATTTATAAATTTGTATATTTCTTTTAGTGTTCAGGTTTGATGCAAATACCACATCCAGCAGTTCAAGCCATCGATGTAAAATTCAGAAACAGAGAATCTAAATAAATCAAACCAAAACCATAGTCAAATGGTTCAAATTTAACATTTCTGGGATGATGAAAACTCAAACCCTAATGGGGTGGCTGATAGTAAGTAAACTAGAGCTCTATTTCAATGTCATATCTCAGTTCGAACCTTGGCTTGCCACAACAACTTTAGGGTTTTGTCCCAGAGTCTCAGTAGTCAGTGCTAAAGCTCAGAGACCGGATTGCATTGAATCAACTATCTAGTGAATTTTAAACAATACAGTTTGTTTCTGTAGGTCATAAATACAATTAGAAAAGTTCAACCGGGCTTTTTTATGCTATTAGCAGAGCTTTTCCTTTGGCTCTTCAAATGGAATATATGCCATGGGCTTACACTTATCTTTGACAAAAGTGAATATACTTAACCTTTCCTTCATCATAAATATTCTGGTTTGGTAGTTTGATGTGTATGCTTTCTACAATTTTACATGGATAGCAGTAAAATGCACCCAATGGTGGATTAAATTGTATGAAGACATAAATGAAGAGCAGTGACAGCTAAATCTTACCTGAAAAGTGGCCTTTTGTTAGTAGCAGGAGACATTCCTTTCTTGGCATCTGCTATAGCTGTGGCCTTGTGTTAGGAGCAGAGACCTTCCTTTTTAGGCATCTGCTATAGCCTGTATGCAATTTCGTTGAGAACACAGGTAAGTAAACCATGTACATCCCAAATTTCCAGCCAAATTTCCAGCCATATGCTTTCATTTTCTCCCCATCAGGTTTCTTGCCCTCTCAGTTCCATTGAGTTCTCCCATGATGATTGAGGAACAGGTGGTCATGAGGTTCCTCGGTCGGTATACATGTCACTTATAATTTGGAAATGCAAAGAATTAATTACCAATCAAAATGGTATTCCTACTGGAATATCACCAGTAATCCCTGCAAGAGCAATCCCCATTCTTGAAATGGTGGAATCGTATTCGATCCCTCATTATTATCTCTCGTTGGTATACCTTTGAAATTAGTTTCATAACAGCATGGCAGTTCTCACAAGATCGCAAGTTCTTCACAATCCGAATTTCAGACCCTGGACTTGTTCTAATTAGACCAAAGGCAAGAGCAAGCTTCTCACTGTGGTGACTCAATTGAAAAGCTTTCTCCTCATCATCAATTTCAAGCAAAACCTCTGAAAGCTTTGGATCATACCCTTCTTTCCTCAAATTATCTTCTATTTCTTCCAATTTTCTGTATATTGTTTCTGCTTCCGGGTGACCTGAATCTCCTACGGCAAATTCATGAATTTCTCCGTCTAACTCAATCCTACTATACCCTGGTGGTTTTACTAGTCCTTTTTGCTTCATTAATTCTCTAACCCTTGCCTTGTCATGCCATTTTCCCGCTGATGCATACACATTGCCAATAAGTACATAACTTCCGCTATCATTTGAACCCATCTTTAGCTGCCTAAGATGTATTATCAAACGCTCTGCTCTCTCATTATCCTTGTGGACCTTGCAAGCCCATATCAAGTTTCTACACATAACCACATCAGGTTCAATGGGCATTTTTCTGATGAACTCTTCAGCCTCTTTCAAGTGACCCGCTCGAGCAAGGAGGTCTACCATGCATCCATAGTGTTGAATTGTAGGCCTAACTCCATATTCATTTTGTATACTTCTCAAATATGTATAACCTTCTGCAACCTGACCTGCATTCCTACACGCCGATAAAACTGCAGTCATTGTCCTCTCATCAGGTTTAATACCAAAACCTTGCATCTTACTGAACAAGTCAATAGCATCTTGACAATGACCATGGCTAGCAAGGCCCGATATCATAGCCGTCCATGCAAAAACATCTTTGTCCACAACGTCATCAAAAACCTGCCTTGCACTCTTTATACACCCGCATTTTGCGTACATATCAATAAGGGCACTACAAACATTAGCCTTCAAACCAATCCCTCTACTTTCAACAACCCCATGCACTCTCCTCCCAACGCCTAACGCCCCTGTCTCTGCACAAGCTCTCAAAACCGACACGACCGTCGCATCATTCACCTCCACCCCATCATCCACCATTTGCTCAAACAACCTTATTGCCTCGATGGGCCTACCATCCTCAACAAGCCCATCAATCATTGAGGTCCATGACACCACATCTCTGTCAGGCATTCTGTCGAACACCATATAAGCAAGACCCGACTCGCCACCCAAACAGTACATATGTATCAATGAGTGCTGGATATACCGGTCCCACTCGAGACCCGACTTGACTATCAACCCATGAAGCTGTTTTCCTTCATGGGTCAGTCTCAAACGGGCACAGGACTTGAGGAGGAAAGGGTATGTGAACTTGTCGGGACGGGGCGTGTGGTGGGCCGGGTCTTCAAGCATGGGTAGAAAGAGACAGAGGGCTTGAATCGGGTCGGAGCTTTGAGAGTAGGCTCGGATCATGGTGTTGTAGTAGTAAGAGTTTGGGGCAGGGAATGAGTCTAAAATGAGACGGGCGTAGGAGAGGTCTCCAGACGGAGACAGAGCAGAGAACGTGAAGAGCTTTGAGAGGTTTTGGTTTTGCTGGTTGCCTGCTTTGAGGATTTGGGCATGGAGCTGCATGGCTTGGGACATGGTGGTGATCTCCATTTGTTTGACAAATTGACATAAAAGATAGATGGAGCTCTACTTCTGCATGGCAGCTCCCTATTAGGCAGTGTCTTATCTCATTATATATACACTATGGTTTTATGTAAGGATGTCAATTTTCCCCACGCATTACGGGCTACGTTCTTCGCAAGGCTTTCGTCCCTAATGAGTCGGGTATGAAGGATAGAAATCCGGGTATGGAGATGAGTTTGGGGAAATTTTCGGACATGATGTTACGGGCGGGTTGGCGAAGAGGAGTGTCCGAGTGTGGCAATTTGCGTAACAGGTCGTATTTGTGTCCTAGTCTAGGCACAACTCGGTTCAGTTCAGCAAAAAGTCTAACCGATTGGGCCTCAAACCGATTGCGTAACGGGTCGTAACTGTACTGAACTTTAGATCGGCCAAAATCTCCACTGTTAATTCATACATTGGGCCTCAAACCGATTGGGTCGTTATACTAAACTTTTCTGTTCGGTTTGAATCAGTAGGAAAAACATTGCTTGATTTGTTGGCACACAGTAGGTTATTCAGCAAAAAGTTTAAAACCATACATTTGGAGGGCGCCAAAATAATGAATAACCTTCTGTGTTTTATTTTTCTTCTTCCTATAAATGTAAGGGTCCGTTTAGTTTCCGGATTGAACTTCTTGGAAATGAACTTCCCATGTCTATGCTATTCTATCGGGAATTACGGATCATGGAGCACCTAAAAGGTTGGGTATAGTTTGTTAGACAGTTAGACGTTTTATTTTCCAATTTTCTTACACAGTACATATCCCTCATCTCATCATTCTCTCTACCATTTACTGTGTTTCGTTACCTGAGCTGTGGCAGACATAAGTTACAAGATTCAAAGTTATCTTTAATTTGGTAAGATTAATTTTTCCTTTTGGCAGCATACTTCTTTTCTGAAAAAAATTTCCCATTTAATTGATTCAGTGTGCTTTGCTTGTGTGCTAAGGTTGTGAATCTTGTGATCTGATAGGCATGGTGAGGGAGACTGGGTATTACGATACATTGGGCGTCAATGTTGATGCCACTTATTTTGAGATAAGAAAGGCTTACTATCTCAAGGTAATCAAATCCAAACCTCTCAATTTTCTGACAAAAAGCTTTTAAGAACATCGTAGAACACATTGTTTAGGCAAATGTACTCTGATATATTTTTCTTAGATTTCCTTCTCACGTTTGAAAAAAAAAGGCACTTTGAAGAATATTATTGTAGCATCTATCTACTGTGCTTGATGTGTTCTTTAGGCAACACAAGTTCAACCGGATAAAAATCCTGGAGATCCCAAGGCTGCCGAAGAATTTCGGGTAAGCTATTATATTTTGATGCATAAGTGCAAAAGAAAAACCCTAGATTTAGAGAATTAAATTTGATGCCAACTTGAATGTGAGTCAAGTTTGGTAGCTTCTGGGGTTTAGCATATAATCTTATGATGCTCATTTGTCCTGGTTATCGTCTGCATGAAGGCACTTGGTGAAGCTTTCCAGGTTCTAAGCGATCCTACCACGCGTGCACGGTTTGGGAAGCATGGAAAGCTATGCATATCACAGTATGTTTGTCCAAACTTGGAAATAAAATTAACCACCTTTGGGTCCGTTTGATAACCATTTTCAGGTTGCTTGAAAGACATATAGTTGCAAAGGCAGCTTCCAAAATATTTGCTTTCGATTGATTCTTTTTTATGTTGAGTTTTACACATACATACTTTTTGTAATGAACTAATGGGTGATGATAGAGAGACGACATTATGTACCACATCTCTAATAGAGTGGAACTCACCTATACAATAGGTCTCGCCTCTATTAGAGAAGAGGTGCACAATGTGTTTATAAATGTGGTCTCCCTAGCATTCTCCTGAACACAATACATCAAACACAAAACCGGTTTTTGTTACATTGAAATTACATTGTCGTTTTGGCAGGGATTATTGGATACACACTGATACTACATATTGTATTATGTTCGGGAGTGAACGTTTTGAAGATTATATTGGTCAATTTGCTATGAATACTTTCTATTCACTTCTTGAAATGGAAGAAGAGACCCTGGATCTTGAAGTCCGCAAGGAGAAGGCAATAGAGAAGATGGGAGTATGCCTTTTTACTTTCAGTGTGCTTGATAAATTCCTTTCCTCTAAAAAATTACATCCATTTCCCACCTAATTTTTTTCTTTCTGTGTAGGCATTCCGGAAGGAAAGGGAAGAAAAACTTATAAAGTTTATGAAAGATCGCATCCAACCATTTGTTGATGGTCGTAAGGATGAGTTTGTAAAATGGGTAGATTCAGAAGCACGAACCCTCTCAACCTTTGGTTAGTTTCTTACTCTCTTTTTTCCCTATACAATACAAGAGAAAAAAATCATATATGAATATGTATTGTCAGATTGACCTTGTACATTTTTAGAATCATTCTGACCCCAATTTCAGATATTACCCCAATTTCAGATATTAGTAAACTTAGATTGGACTCCGGACTCCTCCACAATCCAACTCATCATCAATCCAATTCCTCCCCATCCAATTACGAATTAGTAAACATGTCATAAAAAGAGTTCATTTGATGAAACATTCAAAAGATCAATGGCGGAACCATGAATTTATTTAGGGTCTGGCTAATTTATTTTTTTCTTGGCTTCTTCTATAATATAATAGATAATGATTCAAATTATCTAGAATTTTTTTTTGGGAAGGGGGGCTAAAGCCCCGAAAACAGCATAACTAAACGCGAATGAGGCCTATAATCAAGTTCAATTTAGAAATTCCTTTTTCAAACACTAACACAAATAAATACAACCAAACCCCCAAAAAAAAAAACACAAATTAGTAGAACTAAAGTTGTAGCCAATTAATTAACAAACAAACAACCAATGAATAAAGATTAGGAACTTGAGAAATAAAGCTGAGGTAATACCTTTAGGTTGCATGCAGATTGGGGAAGATTCAGAGCTTGTTACCATTGATTTAATGATGTTCTAATATATTAATGTTGTATTTGAGTTTGATCAATGACAAACAATAATGGAGCGGGAAAAAAAAGTGTAAGTTGTGTTATTTTAATGTTCTAATGTTTTACCTTTTCATTTTTTAAATCTTTTTGCAAGTTATGTTTGTCTGATCTTGCCCCTTTCCGTTGGCTAAGAAAAAAAAAGAGTGCTATGAGGTACTAGACTAATATTTAATTGTACTGCATTTTTTTTTAGACATTAATTTAAGCCTAAAATGAAACTCAACACCAGGCTAAAACCCAATACAGCCCCTTGATAGTTGCACCTTTGCAAAAGATTATGTAACATCCCAATTCTCAGTAAAATTTGAAATGATTGGACCAATTGCAAATGTATTGCCAAACTAGTTTTGCCTTCAGAAAATATGGCAACGCTTTCAAATTGGTTTTGATTGTTGCAATTTATATTGGCACGTATATATATTAATTGTGTTTTTTTTTCTTCAGCCTGTGGCGAGTATATGCTACATTCAATCGGCCATGTTTACTGGGCGAAGGCCAGACAAGAACTTGGAAAGAAGCGTGCGTTTGGTGGTTTAGACGGATGGGTGGAGAATAAAGGTCCCAGAGCATACGAGATGAGGCCACAAATAGGATCAGCTAAAGGTGCATTTTCTGGTATCAAAGAGTTCTACTTTTTTTTAAAAAAAAAAAAATACCATGAGGTGTCCGGGCCAGCTTGCGCGCACATCGACTAATCCCTACTCGCGGGACTGAGTCTGCCGCTAGCCACCAGGTGTTGCAACTGTCGGAACTTGAACTAGGGAGCAAACCCAGCTGAACCCTAGAGTCTTACCCAAATGGCGGACAAACCACTGGGCCACTCTTGATGGTTAAGAGTTCTATTATTTGGATTGAAACTAAGAATAAAATTATTTGAACTACGTCTACGGAGCAATAGAGCAAAATTGCTAGTAAATATGGTTTAAATAATAATACGAATGAAAGATGAGTTGTATATATCTTATTTATTTATTTATTTTAAATGTATTGCCAAACTCATGCTCTGTCTGAATTTGTAGAGGCTGAACGTGTAGTTCTACAACAAGACATGATGGAGCCTGAAGACTTTGAAGATCGCTTCCGGACGCGTATTATTCAAGACTTAGAAGCTCCAACATTTGGTATACGATGGGATGCCGCTATGCTTGATCTTGTGATAACTTTGTCAAATGTCTCCCATGCAGTGAGTTCTCATTATTTCCTAGAGACAGACTCCTAAAGAACTCCGCACGTAAGGCACGGGCATATGTTTGAAGAGAAATGATTTGATACATAATGTTTTCCTTTTCAGATACTTAACGAACCCACTGTGCCGGAGGATGTTCTAAAGTTACGCGCTGAAGCGTTGGAGATGTTCGGCATGATCTTCCAAGTAACCCATGCTTCTTTCTTTGCCTGTATATACTTGTTTTAGTATTCACTTGTGCGGCAAGGATTTTATCCACGACCTAATCAAGCTCAAATTGCATTTGTTTTAGGGTGCAACCGCTCCTTTCCTGAGAGAAGGCAGTCTCCGTAATGAAGATGAAGTAGAATATCCAGATTCTGATATGGATATATAATTTATCACTGTAATTGCTTCATGTACGGACACAATGTTATGTGGGCCCATTTGAAGGTTTTAGGTTGGGACCTGGAAACACTTTGATTGGGTCGAGAGAATGCGATTGTAGTAAAATTATACCACATTTTCTTATCTAGTTGATCTGCCTAGGTTGGTTTCTATGTATATATCAGAAGCACTACACATGCGATCGATGCATGCGATGCAAGTGGCTAATGGTAATCAAATCAGAAAAAGAAAAAGAAACGTGCATGAGAAAGAAAACATGTGTGGGTAAATTGCGACTGTACACTGATACAAAAGGGGGATTTGCACTAAGGCATTAATTATCCAACAACACGCTCTGCCAATTAAGCATTACAATCTTGATGGAATCCAGGTTACAACGAGTTTCAAGTAGCCAATTCTTGGTTGGAAACAGAGTAAGACTACGGCATC